TTATTTAATATTAAAAAAATTTATTTGTTTCTATTACATCTAATTTCATTCGAGGAATATTGATATCCTTATCTTTATTGATATTATATAAAATTACGGTGCATAATTGAGAAAAATTTTTTACATTAATATAAATAAAAAATATAAAATGGAATTTTCTTTTTAAAAAAAGACACACGCAGTGGAGGTTTTTTAAGATTTCTGCTTTCCTTTTTTTTTGGTCAAAAATATATCTCACTACTGTAGAAACAAATAAAAAGAATCCTGAAATGAAATGCAGTTTCGATCTTCGAGATTCGTGCTATACACTATATACGTTCGTGCATTTATGGAAAATATAAAGGCGCAACAAGTATGTACAAACTTAATGCTTATTGTAGCTCTCTGTCTAATTAGTAAATCTTTCATCTCCGATTACGTTCATAAAACTACAACAACCACGCAGATTTGCATCGGCCAATCGAACCGACTTGCATATTTATTGTCACATATGTATATGTATGTATATTATTCGGCGACGAATACAACTAGCTAGCAAGTTCACTTATTTTTACTTACAAAGTATTCTCTCCTCTTAATTACGCAGTCGGCTCTGTCGCAATGAAAACACATAATCGTTGAGTGGATAAAGCGACAGGCTCGCTTCATCTGGTCGACTCGAACCGAATTAAAATCCATTTCATAAACTCCGCGTGCAAGCGATATCGCGATTTTTCGTGTAGGTTGTCGATGATTAAAGACGCGTGTAATCGACGAGCAAATCTCGCCGATCATGTAAATAAGCCTCGAGACATCGCCTTCTGCAGAAGGCAGTTCTAATTAACATAGTTGTAACTAGTGCACGTTGGCGGTGAGTTATAGGCGAGACAAGGAGGAATATTAATATTCAAATGATTAAAACACGTCCTCATTTTCGTCCTCGGACTTTCCACGCTAGTGGAAGTCGTACTTTAAATCCTTTTATTTCGCGTTCAATGCGTGTCTTTCTTCTTCTTTTCATTTTTACTGCGAACGATCGATATCACGTAATGGATTCTACGAGAGAAGGGCGGTAATTTTAATTTCGCGTATAATTATGTTACTGATGACGAGCTATTCTTAAGAGTTAATGACTTTGTATACGACTGGTTGTAAAATCAATCGATGATCATTTACGTCTCTTCAGAAACATCAGCTTCATATTGAAATATTTTGCACTTGATTTATTAATTTTACAATTACGATGATTTGGATAAGTATTATTTGAATTAAAAAACGATGGTAATTAAATTAAATATAGATATACATATATATAAAATATGAAATTTGTTGAGGATTTGTCTAGAAATTGAATTTATAATTTAGAGCTCTGTCATTCAAAGTGCCGTAATTTAGTTACAAAAATATAAATAGAACCAAGAGAGCAGAAATTACACAAGATTTAAACATACGAAACTCTTTCCTTTTCTTTTTTTTTTTTTTAATCTCCGATGGAAATATTCATCTCGTTCCAACACTCTCCTCTCAAACATCGTTTCTCGGAAAAGCTTACGCAACTTCGGCTGCACAAATCATTTGCACAAAACAGCGTGACGACGTTTTACGGTGTCTGCCGCGCGAAACGCGTGGTTTTACTCCGTACCAGCGAGACTTAGTGCGGCGCAAGAAATGTATAGGTCTTTTAACGCGAAGATTCTTCACGCGACAATTAAGAAGATCAACGGACGAGTAGATTCTTTATTGCCAGCGTCGCGGATATGAGGAAAGTTGGCACGAGTTGCCTCTCGGAGAGCACACGGCGAAACTTTTAAGCTTCCGTCCGAGTACCCGTCGTCCATTTAGGGATGAGATTTCTGGATCATAACTTTCAGGCTATTAATTCCGCCGCGTAATGAATATCTGGCCGATAAAACCGGGCGTCGAACTAATCAGCGGACTTTAAGTTCGGAGCCAGCCTGCTTGAAGTTTGTCAATAATTATCGACCAAAGTGGAAGTCAATTAGCGAGGAATATCGAGAATATACCTGTTTGTTTGACGTGGATTAACGTTCCGTCACGTCGTGATATTTAATAGATAATTGTGTTTTTAGATGCAGACTTTCTGAACTGTGAGTACTATTTTTTTTTTTTTTTTAAATTTTGCAACTTTCAATGTTCAACGAGGAGGCATTTACTGTATATTTGTATGTTGAGCCATATATTTTACACGGTATCAGTTTATCCTTGTTTACAGGATATATGTATTTATAGATCTCTAGACTTTTAATTACTAACTAATTTGAATGAACTTGCTCGAATTCAAAGCAGAAGATGTGTACCAGGAAACATCTAAATTAATTACATATACATATTTCATAAATAACTTGTTCGAAAGCATGTAAACCTGAATCTAACTCAGAAATTACAGTTACAGTCGTCAGTATGTCTCAACACTGGTGTAAAAGTATAAAAATTGTGCAAGGAATGGGAAAAAGTTTATAATACAATAAAAAACACAAAAATCATTCAAACCTCTAGAAATATACAACGTTGCAAATCTGCAAAACTACTCTAAAAAATTATAAGCTGATCATTTCGACCATTTCAATGGAAACAAAATTTCAATATTGAAACCTATCATTTTCACACGTGAAAACATTACATCACAGTCAGAAATTCCTCATTCTCTTCAATAGTTCTTACATCGACACAAAAAATTCCTGCTCTATGGTACGTGCATTCCAGTAACAGTTCGTTTTGCGAGGAAGGCTCCGAGAACCTTGGAGGAACCAATTACAAAGCGCGTGCTCCACTTCACGTTAAACGTTCACCCTTTGCAGTGTTTTCACGCTCGTCACGATAGCTTTTGTCCTATGCCGACGAAAAGTCCTGCCAAGGTTTCCAGCGCGCTCGATCGGCATCGTTGGGCACGTACGAGGCACGAAACGAAGAACGAAGACGAAGAAATTAGCGGTCGAACGCTGTTGATTTACTCGCACGACACGTCCCACGTGGGGGTAGAGGCCAGGATGCGAACGTGCAAACGTCAAGAACGTCGCGATCCGAGGAGGTTAGACGCGAGCTCGAGCCAGATTAGATCGTTCAATTGGCAGGTGAAATCGCGCGAGCTCGTTTGCGGTCGTTAATATTAATTGGTTCGGCGATCGCGGAGATTTGCATTGCGTCGTGCGGCCAGGAAATCGTTGTCGGGACCACGCAGAGATAATCGTCACGTAGTATGGCGACGTTATTGCTTCTCAGGTATGTGTGCATATCCCTCACGGATCCGCGGATCCGCGTGGCAACAGGTACACGTGTACGCGTGCCGGAAGTCGAGGAACTCCCGTTTTGAATCTCCGATTATTCTCCCGTCCCTGATTTTATTTCGCCCGGTGTGTATCGACAGATCGTTGCGGTTCGATTAGCTTCCTATTGGAATTCCGATTGGAGCGAGTATAGACGCTCATACGTTTGCTCAAAGATGGAATGGTACTGTCGTGTTATAGCGTTGTGAGCAATGCTATGTTAACTTGAAATTCGCGTATTTTTATTATAAGCTTCTTCGAAGTTCATTGTGGAAATTTGTATGGGTGCTTGAAAAATTCAAATGGATGGATGGACTGTGATCCTAAATATATAATTCATAAGTATCGAATTATATAATTTACTGTGTGATAAAAATCCTTCTCGCGCGAAAAGGACGTGATACAAATTGAAGGAATGTAATAAAATGACCAATTTATAATTTTAGAGTAGTTTTGCAGATTTGCAGATTTATATTTTAACTAAAAAAAATTAAATATAGCCCGTACATATAGCCTGTACTTACGACGATGGCTAAGAAGATGTAATTAAATTCTAATTGACAAAAGAAATAAATTTACAACGTACGAGAATATTCAGAAATAAATTAATAGATTAATTAAAAAAAAAATGACGATGACCTTGAGATCTTATGAATAAGTAATCATCATGAAAAAAAAAAGTATTTTCATCGTTGCATTTGTCTCTTAAAATAGTTGCAATGAAAAATACACATTCCCGGTTAAAAACCCGGTAGTCCCAAAGTTAAAAACCAGTTCATCCGCGAACTCGGGGAGGATCACCATCGGCAAGGTACCACGGTGCAATATCCACAGGCGATTATGCGAATCCGCGGCGTCGAGGACTCGGTTCTAAGGACGAATGTATTATTGCACCACGGATGATGCGGCGCGAGAGGTGCGTTACCTTTAATGATAAAGCCGTTGTTGTACGTGCCGGATGCTAGCGGCTGCATATGTTAAACAACGTTGCATTACCATATCCGGCGGCGTTCTGTTTCGCGATACGAGGCCATGCTGGCGCGTCTCGAGGGCACACCGACGAGTAAATTGAGAATCCGAGCGATTCGAACGCGGCACAATTCCGAGTGAACGATCGTACATTCTGAGCCTAACTTCCATACGTTTCCCTATACGTATCGATGGGTCTCGAACCGTGAAATGGCGCGGTGCTGGAGTACGGTGTTCCACGTTCGCGAGAACGAAAGAGCAGAAGTTTTCGCGAAGGAAGTTTGGAAGATGGAATCGCCAACTCGGTGGTTAGCTCGTCAAGGATCGAGGCTTGTGATTCGTTGATTAGATTTTTTTTTTAATTTTGTAAAATTAAAATTGCGTAATTCGGGCAAGAATTGCGAATGACACGGTGTTGGCTCTCAGTGGGTTTTAAGAGTGGAGTTAACGCGTGTTAAAAGCTAAAAACTAGCAAGAGTAACAAAAAGATTATTGTTGAGAATATTTTCCATGGAATTGATAAATTTTTATTTAGTGAAGTTTTCAGCTTACACGAGTCAGAACGAACGCGGCAATGTGAAAATCATTGTACATTGCTTGAAATAACCGATGGATCATTTCTCAGATCGCTTCGGCTTTTATACTCACTCCTCGTAGATTTAAAGTCACATGCTCAATTACAGCATTTAAATTCGTTACACACGATAAAAGCACAAAGAACGCGATGAATCCATAATTGCAAGTGCTTAATGAAATCAACGAGAAACGAACGTGAATGAAATACTGTTCTAAACTGACCGATTTACGCGACTGCAGTGCCGTAAGATTCGTTGGTGTGTTTCTGGAACACGGACGTACGAGAAGAAGCGAGGAGTTGCTTGCTCAAAGAGTTCTCACTGGCGATCACTTCTTGTTTCTATAAATTACGCTTCTCTTGTACGATGTATCGTCGTAATAGATATAACACACGCATTAACAAGCAGGCATATGGGAAAGATTTCCATGCACTGAATAAGCTCGTTTGTTCGATAGACGGGTAGCTCGAAGACGTTTGATCAGCGCCTGGCCTGGACTATTAATTAAAAGCGCTCGACACTCATTTCATTAAGAGCATCCGCCACGTCATAAAGGCGCGTACGCGTGAGGAGAGAAAAAAAAAAAGGAAAATCACGATCCTCAGACATGATCAAATAACTCGGATCGTCTTGTTAACGCTTGTTCTGTGGCTGTGAATTTTGGCGCCGACGTTTGAATCTACGTCTAATGCAGTTCGACGATGCTTAAGAAATTGCGAATGTATTGTAAAATTGACGATACTTGGGTTTTGGAGCGGGAAAAACTGCAATTGGAATTTAAATTTCGTAAATTTGAGTTTAAATTAAATTTAAAAGTTCAGATATCTTTAAGGAAATCCATCAGTTCGGGAATTTACATTTGGGAGCCTCTATTTAGAAATCTGTTGTCAAACCTTCACTTGGAAATCCAAGTTCACATTTAAAAATAAGTGTTTCTTAATTCGAACTATTAAACTCAAGATCGGAACGTTCAAGTATAAACATTCAAATTTGCAAGGAGTTCGAGAAATCATCTGAAGGATTTTAATTTACTGATATCTCCACACGGATGTTCGATACATTCTTTGAAAATTGAAGTAAATAATTAAAAAAGGAAGCTTGAGATTGTGAGGCTCAGAAAGTCAACGATCTTTCTCTCGATAAACCTTTCCATGTCACACTTTTTACTACAACAATTTGATATCAAATTTTTTTTTAATCAAATGAACGAAATCGAGTCTTTAACGCTTTAGATAGTTGAGAATTTAATAATAAAGTTAAAAAAAATTTTAAATAAAAATTAAAATATATTTCATACTTATGAATGATATTTCAAAGAATCGATCTTCGAATTTCATTCTCGTTTCAACGTCACGAGTCGCGTTTCTCGTGTTCGCTGCTTCCCGGAGCTTGCAAATCGCTTTGGAATCCGACTAAAACGAGGTCCAGCTGTGACTCGTCAAATTACGGCTGCGAGAACGCACGCTGTCACGCGCGATCGCCGCGCGTACGCACTAAACGCGTGATAGACGTCAAGGAGGAAATAACGACGATTCGCTCGTTTCCGACCCGATCGAGAGTTCAAAGCGAAGCTTGGACCCAAGGATCCGCGTAACGATCATCGTGCCGTCATTCCTCGCGAGCGTGTACACGCACCCGCGATTATGCGCGCGAATTCGTGGAACGCCAGTGATACAGAGAAAACAGAGTTCACTTTGACGCGGTTTACTTTTGTTTACGTTGCCACAGAACGAGGCACTGACGAGTTTAGAAAAAGCAGTCGGTGCGTACGTTGAAATCAATTTGGAGAAATTTCTCTTTGATAACAAAAGGGGGATGATTGAAGGAATGTTAGTCAAATGTTTGAACAAGTAACGCTACCGAAGCAAATCAGCCTTTCTCACAAAATGAAGCTTTCTAGTCGCGGATTAATAACTTTTGGTCTGTTAATTTCAATCTTGTCGATCGAAAAATTTTTTTGTACAGATCAATTTTATACGTTGATGTATCCTTCGGATCTATCTATCAATTTCAGACTACTTTTGTAATTAATTGTGTTAGAAGCAACAGGTATGCGCACACGTATGACTAATGTTTTATGGTTCACTTGTGTATGTCTCTCTTAGCTGCTTTTAAAATGTGTGTCTACGTCGTGTCGCTAGAAGCGATAATGATTATACTCGTTAAATACAGAGCAAGCATATGCAGCTGCTGTAAAATTGAATTAAGTTATAAGGAAACTAGTTTTTTTTTTTAAATCAATAATTTTATCGTTTAACTTAATTAATTAATAGTAAGAAAATATTTTGAAATAACGCAAAAAGAACTATTCAAGTCTAGTCTTAAAATGTTCGAAAATGTCTGAGATTTGCAAATATGTTTTATTTTTCACAAAAAAATTAAATTTCAGTTGCAAACTGTAATTACTTTTCTAGACAAGAAATTGTCATTTCTTCACGACGAGTCATTTATTCGTCGTTCACAGGCAAGAGGTTAATATCAGAATTTTCTTTTACACTTTCGTATTTTAGTATCCAAGTCCTGTTTATATGCGATCGTACGTGAGTATTCTAAACTGCGGAAATGACAGTAACACGACAGAACGCTCTATTTCTCAATATTGAAAGACCGTATGTTTCTTATATTATAGATTCGTTTCACTTTCAGAGTAACTGCTCCAGGCTCCTTCTACTCTCTCTATTAACAAATATTTATTTATAGCTTCTATACCCAATTCGCGCTAATTTTTTTCATATTCCCCGAGAATAAGGTTTCATAAAAAAAAATATTTCTTGCTAAATTTTGCCCGCATCTTTTATCATGCAATTGACTATCTATTTAACATTTCATATTTTGAATTGTGTTTATATTCATTTCTAGTCTTTTCTTATCATCTTTATTCCAAATACTTCAAGACTCTTCAGATTAAACGTAAATACTTTTTAAATTTATCGAAACAAAAATCTGAAATACGAAATAGTTTTAAATCTCCAAGACCTTAAAATCTAAAACTTAAAATTTGAGCATAGCAGGTATATAATTAAAAACTTTATTGCTTATTCTTGCACCAAAAATTTAAACAAAAGCTGACACTGAAACTATTAATACCTCTTGTGAAAAGACAGAGTATTTGCCTTCTTTCACCAACGTATCAGATTTCTGATTTAGTTTCGTCAGTCGCAGAAAACGACGTGACGTTTATGAAGTTTAATTAACCTAGTTCCACGAGAAGGTGGAAAAATAAAGTATCCCGTGATCCGTGCCTCGAGACGTTCAGCTCGCTGAACACGTAAGCTCGTGCGTAACGCGTTAAGATGACTGAAGTGTCGGTGGACGTCGAGTGTTTGAAGAAGGTTCTTCTAGAAATAGAGTTCAGCTGTTCAAATTGAGCAGAGAAATGACTATTTCATGGTCCAGATGCTTAGTTAAAGACTTCCCTTCTCTCTCTCTCTCTCTCTCTCTCTCTCTCTTTCTCTACGTCGAACAACCTGCACATTCAGCTCGCCGATCCTCAAGAACTTATCTTCGCGTAATGTCGTTCTTCCTATTCAAGACTTGATTAATGCAAGTTGATATTGACGTATCGTCTCGGATCCCGTGATGAAATCCACGCTGCCAGGCAAAACGGTTCGGGATCATTTTTCAGAAGAGCGATTTGCAACTAGCAGCCACAATTTCAGCTTGTCACTCGGCGAGTTCTTAAGCGCGTTTGACGTGTCTCTTGTAACAGGGTTTCTGATTGGAATCACGTCGCAAGAGACTTTAAGCGACGTCTTAAATCTCTCAATGCCTCGCGCACGGCAGAATGTTGCACAGCGAGAACGCAATTATCAGATGGTTGAAAAAGAAGAAAAAAAGGAAGAGAAACAACAACAACGTGTCTCTTATACATATTCATGAACAAATTAGCATTCTGTCTTTTTTTTTCGACCTTTTCCCTCCTCTTCTTACCAATTTTTGTTGCGTGAAATTGTTCTGAGGATTTATGCGTATAAAACGTATTTTATTTGCTTCTGTAGATCTGGCAGATCGTTCCTTTTTAATGGAATAATTTCAACCTTGATTCTCAGATTATCGCGTAGACACGTTGTACAGATGTATGAAAACACAACACGAAGGTGATTTGAAGTGTATTGAACTTTACATTCCAACATTTAGGAAAGGAAAGTAAGAGAAGAGTGAAAGAAACAGTGAAAAAAAGCTTTATTGTTAAACTGCAAATCTGCATGTGTTTATAAGAAAGACGTACATACTTCATTAAAAAAAAGTATATAAACCTTTCTTTTCTTCTCTAACCTCGAAAATTTACACTCAAATATATTGTCGCCCAGCGTATTGTCTTCTTACAGAGTGCCTCGTAGTTGAAAAGAACGTTTGAGTGGTCACATTATACGTACATCTCATAGCTTACGCCTTTCGTATCTCTTTCCCCTTCTACGTAGCAAAAAAAAAAAGCAAGAAAACACCTACGCAAATTCCTTGCCCAACATCCTCGGTCCTATCTGTTCACCATTTCTTCCACCCTAATCTACGAGCCGCATCCGAATGTTGAAGCCCGCGTTGCGATATCTCAGCCATGCTGGTAGCAAAGAGAACACGGCGAGGCCACCGAGGCGGGTTGCAGGTGCAACAAACGTGGTCGAGGTTGACTTATTGAAAGCCTGCACTCGGTTTCCGGCGCCGATGGAACCATCGATACGGTGACCAATGGCGGCGCACCTTCCGCGGACCTAACCTCCTTGGATAGCACGAGAAGATAACAGCTGGTACACACGAGGGAATCGCGAGGGCGTTCGTTACACCCGCGATTTCTTTCCGTCGAACGCACGTCAACCGCGTGTTCCTGGAAGACGGAGAGGAAGAAAGAATCGTTGGGCGTGCCCTCGCCTAGCTAGTGGAAGATTCGACGAAACGGCTGGCTGCTTGTACAGCTTAAGGTGGAAAAGAGGAAGGGAGGAGTGAGAGGCATCTCCGATGTTCGAGTTGTTGCTCGCTGATGGAGGGAATAAATGTACCCGCGTGAGTTCGAATAAGAGATTTCGTGATAGAGGAAGGACACATTGCTTGCGTACGAATGTAGATTCGCAGCTAAATGTGAAACATTGAGAGCGAAAATAGGCGAAGATATTTTTTCATTGAAAGAACTTTTGTAATAAATGTTCTAACGATCGTTTCATGATCGTGAAATAACTTTGATAGTTTAATAATTTTCGAATTAATCGTTGACATTTAATATTTAGGATATTTTAATTGAAGGTATGTTTCATTGAATAATCGAAAATATTTTATTCCACTTGGAAGATTTGATTATATAATGAATTGGAAAACGCTGTTGATTTACATAAAAATCAAAGAACGTGTACTATAAATATGTCTTATCGTATACGTTTCATTGGATGCAATGTAAAAAAAAAAAATTCTATGTATTTAGAAAGTACACTATAATAAGAGAATTTTATCCGATATCATGTTCACGTAACATACACGATTATTTCATTATGCAATTATTTGCAGCTATCTATGCTTATGTCAGTACAATGTGCACTTTGACAAAAATTACCGAGAGCCTTACTAGTCTCATTACCATCCTATATCCATCTACTTGCTCATTTAATAAGCTAAACCGTGGAGATAGAAATTGCAATAAAATACAAATAAAATATTTCTGCGACTGGTTTGTAAATAATAAGATATAAAAATATTATCAATTTCTCACAGCTGTAGAATCCTCACAATTTTTGAACATTTTACTTCAATTGAAATTAAACATTCAAACCTTATACCGTGATAACCTCAACTAACACTTGAATTATAATATATTAACAATTGAATCATGCACAAACCTCTACTGATATCTTCAACCTACACTTCCGCTTAAAATTCTTGGGACACTTTTATTTTTAATATTCAATATTTATCGTATATACATATTTTATAACACGATATAATACAATGTATAATAATATAATAATACAATATATGTATATATAATAATGCAATAATACTATAGTAACAATACAATATTAGTATGTTAACAGAATCTTTATCAAAGTGTGTTTTATATTTATTGTATTTAATTATATTGTATTCGTTGTAAATACAACAATTTGTATTATATATTGTATATTGTGTATATAATTTATATTCTAAATATTGAATATATAATTTATAATTTATATTTATTGCGTTTATGACACAAATGCAGTACTTATCCCAAGATATCTGAGCGGGGCGCTGTGTACCGTACAATACAAACTCTACACGCGTAGAGATATTCACCTATTCCCTCCATCAGAAAAAGGAATTATAAACAATAGAAAACCAATTCACAACTCGTGAGATCAACTAGACTAGACGAATTGGTAGTACGCAAGAGTAAAGATAGTACACAGGAAGAAATCGTAGAAGTTCCTTCCTGCTGCATCTCCCCGGGGCCCTAAACCTAAACGTTTGTACCACGCGGAGATACAGCAGGACGTGGTGGAAGAAAAATTTCCTGGTTGTTCCCCTCGGCTCCGGCCTAGGCCAGAGGGACCGTGGCGCCGTGGCAAAGGATGGACGCGTGTTCAGCGGAGATGCAAGGTGAAAAAAAAGTCGTAGGTGTTTCTTCCTCGCAACCACCCTGCTCGAAGCAATGGGCCCGTAGGCCATTGAACAACGACTCTCTCTCTCTCTCTCTCTCTGTCTCTGTTTTTCTCTTTTCCTCTCTTTCGAGGGAAACGGGCGAGAAAGAGAGAGAGAGAGAGAGAGAGAGAGGGAGAGGGAGCCGTAATCACGAGCAGGTACAAGGTACAAGGCACCACGTAGTGAGGATTAATGATTCGCGTCCGCGACGTCGTTACGAAGCGAGAAAGCATTTTCCATTTTTTTCTTACGCCGCTCTCTCGGCGTACGCCCCTCGCCTCCTGGCGATTACGCGCTCCTCGAGGAAGATCGGGGATATATAGCCGTTCGACTCGTTCGAGCAGGTCGCTGCCGGCATGTTGCATACTCGCTGGTGACACGTAACCGACACGCACGTCGCGGCCACGCATTCTCGCGTGCCGCCGGCCGTTTATCCGTCACACGATCGGCAAATCTCTCGATATTTAATTTATCGGAGAGAGATTTTCAGGAGCGAAGGTATGACTTTTCGATGAAACAGATCCAAATTTAGTGGGTATCGAATTATATGATACGAGTTATTTACGAATTAGCTTAAGGAACGATTCAAAATATTCTGACTGGGTTGTTCAAGTCTTGACTGTACCAAAAAAAATAAAATTTATCTTTTACATTTTATTTATTTCATCATGAAAAATATCTTTTTTTTTATATCCTTATATACGTATTAACCTCGCGAACGTCTCAGAGACGAAGGATAAAAAGATAAAATGTTCAGAAATTTAATTTCTCAGAATGATGACCACAGAATATTTTCATACAGTTTCCATGATTTTATTTACACGTATGCACACGTACACGTATGCTCGATAACCGTGTCGACGATGTCATAATAACAGGACGCGTAGACCAGAAACGCGACGACCGCGTAATTTCGCGGGGATATTTACTCGACCGAAATTGCACGCGGCCCGACCACGTGGCCGGCATATCCAAAACTGTCGACAAACTGTAATATTCCGTATCACGGCTGCTATGTAGTCATGCAATTATGACCGCAGCAAACTGGTTACGACTGATTGCCTCTGCGCGTACCGCGTTACACCGTGTCGTTCCCCTTCCGATAAAGTGGTTCAAACCGTTCGAAAATTAGTGGATCTCGCTAGCTATGGCCCCGATTCCATAAATAGTAGCTTTTACACGCGAACAGACGCCACCGAATATTCATTAATTCGAGAGTTCCGCGATTTCTGCGACTTCGACGACTTCGTCTGCGTACATTCCTCGGCGCTGTCATTACGATTCGTTTCGCGAGAAAGAAACCGCAGGGAGGATCGGAGACCGATCGTCAATCACTCGACTCGACTCGTTCTTCTCTTCTCGTCTCGTCTCGTCTCGTCTCGTTTTTCTCTTCTTCTTCATCCTCCTTCCACCCGCGCGTGCTAGAACCAACGTTCGATTAGTATTCTAATCTACGGTTCGAATTTAGGTTCGCCACCTGTTCCCAGGCTCGCAGCAGGATGTTCTAGCGAACGGGTTTTCAAGCCAGGCCTCCTTCGGCCTCTCCGGTCTTTAACGTAACTCGACACGCGTTCGACAAATGTTCCACTTGTTCCCGTTTTACTTACAAAACGTCTGACGCGATTTTCCATTGTCAAGGCGGAGATTCATAAATCACAAGGATATAGGAAACAGGATCGGATGTTTATCGGCAACGACCGCAGACAAAATCGAGCTGGCAGTTCCTAACGACGAGTTGGATTGAAAACCCCTGAGTTCGCAAGAGCCAGATTTTTCTCCCCTTGACTTCCAGCGTGAATCGAATCCCTTTAGGGTCGCCTATATCCTTTCTCTAGGGTCTTCACCCACACCGCAAGCTGCCTTACGAGGAATGTAATTAGCCGTGGCCGGCTTTTATAGAACGCGGACTCACGTAACTATTTCTCACGGGTCTTCCACGTTACGCCTCTTCGAGAGACAACGCGTCCAACGTTCTCCGGCGCGGGGGGATGGAAAGGAGAAAGAAGGAAAGGGACCACGCGCAAGATCTTTCGCGATCTTCGCAAAAGAACGACCCATTACAGCCAGGAAATGAAACGTCGGGATATTTATCATCGCGAGCGCGCCACCGAGTTCTCTGCACTTTCCTCTCTTCGTCTTCTTTCTTCTTGTCTCTTCTTTCGTCCTCGTCCTTCTTTCTCGCTTCCCCACTTTCTTTTTTTTTCTTCTTTTTTTTTT